AGAAAAATAGGAAGAGAAAGATTGTCTTTAGAGATGATTTTTAAAAGTTTTTACCCCAAAGCTAAAGTCAGTGTAATGCTTTGGTGAAACACTAGAAAACTCCCCATTTACACACAAAGATGCCAGTTGTCACTGCAATTATTTAACACTGTGAAGGTTTGAGGCATTTCATAAAACAAACCAACACACACACACAAAAATTATTATTTTAAATAATTAAAAGGAAGAAGTGAAATAATCATTACATGCAAAAGATATCATTTTTGATCTGCAAAAGACACGAGAATAAGTGTTAAAAGAGCACATGTGACCGTTTAGTAAGGCAACTGGCTTCTAACACAATAAACAGGTAAATAAAAACAATGACCTTTTTATAGACATATTGAGCAAGTACTAAATATCACAGATAAAATTAAGCACATTAAATATAAGCACCAAGTGGTTAAGTCATGTAATGTGTCAGGACCTCAGTTTCTTCACATGAAAAACAGTATTATGCACATGGGAAATATTAACAAGTTATGAGGTATACAGATTAACTGAGACATGAATATTGTAGCTTCTTCTTTTTAGTGGGTACCTGTTACATACACTCATTGTTTATTTTATTTTGTAGCTTATGTCTTTTATTAAAACGTCTCCAAAATGCATATAGAAAACACATCCAACACATACTTGTTCAACCAATAAGTGAATGACTGAATGATCCCACGCTAGGGGAACAAGACAATCTATTTCAAACACAAAGCCTGTACTTTGAAGAGATTTCGTTGTGAATGTAAGCCATGAGTCAAGAATTTTTCATTTCTGTAAGTCAGAGAAAGACAAATACCATTACCATATGATTTCACTCATGTGGAATTTAAGAAACAAAACAAACAGGCAAAGGGAAAAAGAGAGAAGGAGGCAAAGAAATAGACTCTTAGTTGTAGACAGCAAACTGATGGTTACCAGAGGGGAGGTGCGGGGGGATAGGTTGAATAGGTGATGGGGTTTAAGGAGGGCCCTTGTGATGTGCACTGGGTGTTGTATGCAAGTATTGAACCACTAAGTTGTGCACCTGAAACTAATATTACACTACATGTTAACTATTGGAATTTAAAGAAAAACTTAAAAAAAGAATACATTTCTAAAAATATACAGTTTCTATCAAATTCAAGATTTAACAATATTCCACACAGAATGCATGACCATGATTCCTTCTCTTTACTCCACCCATTGAACTTAATTTATTCTAAAATTTTCACCTGTTTTATTTAGCTGTCATTGCTATCATCCAACCAATATTAACAACATAGACACATATTCAACGTTCATGCTGATTATGGGTTCGTTACTCAGAAAAGTTGCTCTGAATTTCTGTACTGTAACCTGGTTGCTTTCCAGTCACCAGCTAAATAGCCATTGATAAAATAGATCAAAAACACCAACCTCCCAGAAAGTTACATACAGTTAAAAGATTATCATCACCCCCAAGATTTGGCAGTCTTATACATTAAAATTAAAGTGAATTGTGTTACATACTTAAAAATTATGCTGGCAAATACATTTTTTTTCCAAATATAAATTATATATTCTTTTTTAAAAGTTTATTTATTTATTTTGAGAGAGAGGCAGAGAGACAGAGAGAAGGAGGGAGAGAGACTGATGATCCCAAGCAGGATCCTCACTGTCAGCGCAGAACCCAACGTGGGGCTTGAACTCACGAACCATCGGATCATGACCTAGCTGAAACCAAGAGTCAGACGCTTAACTGACTGAGCCACCCAGGCACCCTTAAATTATATATTTTTTTAATGATGGTAAATGTAATCAAGAACTCTTGATTGTGAAATTAATAGTATGGAAAGGATCATTTGAATTAAGCAGCTTCATGATTCTGAAAATCTTCTAAAAAAATTTTTAATTTATCTGTTGGCAAAAAAAAAAAAATGGCAAGAGCACAGCATCACACAAGGCAGGGGGCCCCTCTCACCAGATGCCCTGTGCCACTGCACAGGTCACATATTCAAAGAGCCACCATGACTAAAGGGCATGAATACATGTGAGTGACACAGGAGTGGACTATATTGGACACAAATTTGTGTGCTTCCTCAGAGTCCCTTCACTGTCTCCTATTCTTTTATTCAGCACGAAGTGTAAGCCAGATTATGCTTCCATTTTGGACTTGACAGCAACCCTACCCCGTGGGGGGTGAGATTCCACTTTCCAAATGACCACTAAGGGGCTAGATGAGCAGAGGTATTAGTCCCACTTCGCTAAACCCTGGCCAATGGGAACTAGAAGACAGATAGGAGGTAATTAGATACATCCCTCCTCCTCTCCTTCTTCCATGTTCTAATGCTACATGTGGTTTGTCATTGGAACCCTCCTGGAAAAGCTGTGTGCTGTGTGCACACACAGGATGACTACTATATTGTCTCTCAACATATCGTGAGTTGGTAGCCAACAGAGTAACACAGCACAGCACCTCCTTCCACATCTTCTCTTGCCTCCTTTCTATATGTTCTCCCCATTTCTGCCCAAGACTTAACCTCCCCGCATAAATGTCATTATTTTTGTTAAGTGTATTTATCTATTTTTGAGAGAGACAGAAAGAAAGGGAGGAGAGGGGCAGAGAGGGAGAGAGAGAATCCCAAGCAGGCTCTGTGCTGTCAGCACAGAGCCCCGGGCAGGGCTCAAACTCAGGTACCGTGAGATCATAACCTGAGCTGAAATCAAGAGTTGGTGCTTAACCACCCACCCCACCCCCCGAGCCATCCAGGTGCCCCTAAATGTCATCATTTTGAGCTCTGACTTTCATTCAGGTTTTAGAAGCCCCAGGATAAGATAGTCAGTGAGTTATACCATTATTATTTATTTACTTTATGTGAGTTTATAACAATAAAACTTGTATCTGGAAAGGATGCAGAAAATATTATATCAAAAATAACATTCTAGGGGCGCCTGGGTGGCGCAGTCGGTTAAGCGTCCGACTTCAGCCAGGTCACGATCTCGCGGTCCGTGAGTTCGAGCCCCGCGTCGGGCTCTGGGCTGATGGCTCGGAGCCTGGAGCCTGTTTCCGATTCTGTGTCTCCCTCTCTCTCTGCCCCTTCCCCGTTCATGCTCTGTCTCTCTCTGTCCCAAAAATAAATAAACGTTGAAAAAAAAAAAAATAACATTCTAGTAAGGCAGCTGAGTTAGTAAAGCAGTATGAACTCAGTTTTTTAATAAATCAAATATAATTTTTGTGTCTACAATACCCAGCTAGAAAAAAAAGTCACACGTAAAAAGATAACATTTACAATAAATAGAAAAAAAAATACATACAAATTAATAAAATCTTTTATATGCTTTTTAAAAACTTTTGTTATAAATGCCTTCTACCTTTGGTGTTACACCCGTTTCCACTTCACACATGTGAAAGGGCTGTGCCAAGGCTATATTCTAGTGATATTTGCCCTAGAATTAGGAAACAGCCAGACATTTGCTCTGAGAACTGCTTCTTGGATAAGCCTGTCGCCTCATCGTGAAACCAGAGCTGAGAAATTCATGGAATTTGCAGGTTTTGGGATACATTTTCTTTTCATTGGTTTCCCAGCTTTCAAAAAGTTCATTCACTCATTCATGCATTGACTTACTCATTAAAAGATTTTTTATTAACTCTTCTATGGCCAGCTTGCAGGTTTTGGGAGGCAGCAGTAAATATGATCCTCACTTCTTTGAAGTGTACTGGGAGAGATAGATGATAAACAAACAAATACAGCAGGTGTGGAGATGAATTGCCTTCAGATTTACAAAATTGTTAAATTGCCTAAAACCAAAATTAACGGTAGCGTAAAATTCGGTGGTTGAACAAGATTATGCATTTCTTTCCTATAATAGAATTTGCTATCAATGAGTATGCCAACACACATTATTCTATTTCATTCTTATCAAAAGATTATAATAAAATATATCTTTGAGAAATCCCCGATGATTATTGTGTAGACGTAATAGATGCCACTCAATGTATGCAGAAAGGTTTATTGAGTTATATACCATAATTCCTTCACTATTCTAATAGTGAGCATTTTTTTTTAGATGCAAAAGATTTGAGTGTTACCTTATATTTTGAAAGAATTTTAAAAGTGGAAGATGTTTCGGATGTTTGGCGATTCGAGGCCCAGAGGTGGTTTAAGAGACAACTGACATATTTGAAATCAGGTCTCAATTTCAAAAATGGTCTATCTAAACTCAAAAACCAGAAGAAATGACGTTCCTAACTGCATGTGGAAACTTACAACAACATTCTAAAGAGTTCATGATCATGTTTCTTTCATCTTTTTCCCTGTTGTGGAACTCAGTGTTTGCTAAGCTTTCTGCCCACTTCTTTAAATCAAATATTCATCAGTAGAGTTTATTGTACACATATATAAAATTTACATGCAATATGTTGGTCATTTATGAATTGCATTGTGCACACCTTTATTCATCACAGCCCTAATCGCTCTCTATTAACCGTGAAGTAGGAATTTATGATGGAATAATTATCTACCCCAAACAGTCATCCTCAGTATGTGATTTAGAATTGAATACCATTACCATGCAAAGACTAGAGATTCAAACAATGAAATCTAAGCACACTGTAATACCATTTACAATGGAAAATAACAATGATGTCCTGAGATTGCCTGTCAGTTCTGAAAAATGCATAAATATAGATCACAAATTTTTTAATTGGAAGATGATACATAGCATATGTAAAATACACACAGCTTCATAATTCTCAGGAAATTCTTTCCATATTATGTATAATTAGATTGTTTAACCTGATTAAGAAAACCGGTGAAGGTAGATTATTTCCAGTCTTCCTTATATTTTTCATACATACATGTATATAGTTTTATGGGCTAGGCTTAGGTAAGACTTCTGTAAGTGAAACTGAAAATTATTCAGTTACACACACTAGGGAAAAACCCGCAGGAGGTATATAATGTTACCGTCTACATTAGTTAACTTTCTGCCAAGAAAGACACAATGCTCTTATTTATCTATGGACTTGAGTGTTTCTGTTCTTTCAGCCAGTACTTTTCCTGGTATAAAACAGACAGAAAGGCCTGTTTTAGCTTCTTGTTTCCCCAAATCAACATCAACGAGTGGATCGAAGGATACACGAAGGCAAGTACCTGGCAAAACATGAACAGTTCCTTCTGCAGCCCGTTAAAACTCCAAACTGTAACAATTAGATTCAGAACGTAACCTGCAAAGAACAAGAGAAAGGAGACCACCGTCTGCATGGCTCTTATGTGGACCTTGGTGCTGGGATCTTGGGATCCCTTGCCACAGAGCTGCATCCGCTTGAGATGTCTCCAGAGGGAAAAGATCAACAGCACAAAAGACGTCAGGGACGTAGCAAAGGGTATGAAGTTTGCTAGTGTGAATACAGTCATATTTGAGAGGTGTGCCATGTCCGTCCATTTGGTCCTCCAAGTGACATTCCCTTCATATTCCTTAGTCTGCACTTTCTCATATATGCTCACTGTTGCAACATGAGAAAACAATAAAAACAAAGACCCCAGCAGCATCACAAGCACGACGCTTTTAACTCTCCACTTGAGGCGAAGGAAAATAAGGCTGGAGAAGTTGGCTATTTTGAACAAATAAAATATGCTGAGGCTAGTAGCCAGCCAGATGCTAAAATGATTGCTTACTGTCCAGGCAATTTGAAAAATAATTCTTACTTCTAAGCTCTTGAAATCTGGACTGAACAAAGTTGCATACCAATTTATTATCATTACCCAGAGCAAACCAATTCTGGAGACAGCCAGAGCAGCGAGAATGTGATCAACTGAGGAGATCTTTTGTCTCTTGGTCCAGTCAATGAAGTTCACCAGTGCTATGAAGCCATTGGCAAAATTTCCTAGGAGAAATTCTATTATTACCACGATGGAAAAAATGCTCGGTAGCGCGGTTACCATGTCTAGAAAGGAAAACAAACAAGAAATGTCTAAGTCTAATGTCTGATGTCGCTGGTTGTGCACCTGATCCCTAAGTGTGCAGTAAAGTTCTCATTTCTTTTAAATTCTGTGACCAATGTCAAGCAGGAAAGCACCAGGGTAGGCCAGTAGATGAGCTCGGTGCTGTCTTGATGAAAACCATTGTTATTCCTCAAACAGCTCAAATTAACTTCTATTCATTGACTTTATATCCTTGCTGTGGGCTAGAATACTCATCACACATGCTGAAATTGAAAGCTGAATTCTCATTTGCTAGCATGCAAATAAAACCGTATTGTCTTTCAGTGTTTTGTGATTTTTTCCTTGTTTGACCTCTACGTAATTTGTATTATCAACTTTATTTGTTGTACAGAAAATTGAAAAATCCAAAACACATCTGTAGAGTGTCTTAATTGTTAGGTAGAGCTTGGCCGGAAGTAAGATTACCATCATTATGGATTTTTTTTTTTAAGATTTATTTTTGAGACAGACAGCGCAAGTGGGGAAGGGGCAGAGAGAGGGGGGACCGAAGATCCAAAGCAGGCTCTGCTCTGACAGCAGTGAGCTCATTGCAGAGCTCGAATTCAAGACCCTTGTGTCATGACCAGAGCTAAAGTCAGACACTCAACCCACTGAGCCACTCAGATGTCCTGGATTTTTTTTTTTTTTAATGTCGCAATTATGCAGAAAGAATTTAAGCTTTTCCAATCAAAAACATTCAGGGTATGGGGCGGGGCAGGGGGAGGTCATGTGCCAATACTCCCCAAAGGCTGGTTCTTGATGACTAACATTTATGCACACTTTTATTGTTTACAAGTGCATAAACACACACACGTGTGCACAAACACACATGCATCATAAATACAGGAATTATTGTCCTATAATTTTCTTTTGTTTTTAAGTGAGCTCTATGCCCAGCGTGGGACTCAAACTCACAACTCCCATATCAAGAGCGGCATGATCTACCAAGTGAGCCAGTTAGGAACCCCGTGCATGTCTTATAATTTTCAAAATGAAAAAAAAAAAAAAAATGAATCTCAGGGAGACCATCCAGCTTTTTTTTTTTAAGCAATTTTAAAAATTTTTTTTAATATGTATTTATTTTTAAGAGAGAGAGACAGAGTGTGAGTGGGGGAGGAGCAGAGAGAGAAAGGGAGACACAGAATCCAAAGCAGGCTCTGGGTTCCAAGCTGTCAGCACCGAGCCTGACGCGTGGCTTGAACTCATGGACCACGAGATCGTGACCTGAGCCGAAGTCGGACACTTAACTGACTGAGCCACCCAGGCGCCCCAAAACCATCCAGCTTTAAATCCATCTTTTCTCTCATTGAAGTTTTTCAGCCCATTTTAGTAGCTACTAAACATATCTCTCATGCTTAAGCCTCTAATAAAGTTTCTCTTTTGAGCCTACTTGATATTTAAATACTATTTAATTAAAACATTCAGAAACTTTATAAACGTCCCTTGAAAACTTCAAAAGAACATGGTCTTCCATTGTAGAGTCTGCATTTCTCTATCCATACATAGTGTTTCATTTTACGTTTAATTCATTTTGGGCTACTTAATATTTTAAGATTAATAGATATAAAAATTAGCCTCTACCCATGGATTTTTTTCGCTTTCAGTTTTTGTACTATAATTATTTCTAGCAGAGGATCTTAGAGCCGGACTGCCAGGAAAGAAAAACCTAGATTCTTTGCATTATATGTTTCTAATCTATTTTAATATTACTCTCTGCCTCAGTAAAACCATCAACTAGAATGCAGAGGATCGTATCCTCTTCGGGTGGTTTTTGTGAGGAGTTAGTACATTATTTGTGTAGAGTGCTTTCAGTTCTAACCTTTCTGGTACAGAGTAGGTGTGGAGGACTGTGGTTCATTTGATGGTTCATGTGTCATTAGATGCTTCAGAGTTTGCCGACAAGAACTTCCATTGATGAGCACAATGTAGCAGGTTGAAAAAGGCCAGATTTCCTCCTGTAACACCTGGGATTAGGGCAAACAATTGTCAAAATTATGTTTCAAACACATCACAGAGCTGTGCAAGGAAGGAGAACCAGCCGAACTAAAATCCATCAAGAGGAGAATCTTTTCAGGTGAAGAGATGATCTATGTATTCAAATGCAAGCCCTATCAACTCCTAGAAGATTTCTTTCAGGAAGTGAAAAACTATTCCTAAAATGTATACGGAAATGCAAAGCACCCAGAATAACCAAACGAATTTGTTTTTTTAAAAAAGAACAAATTTGGAAAATTACAGTTCCTGATTTCAACGCTTGCTAGAAAGCTGCATTAATCAAGATAGTGTGGTACTCACAAAATTATATATATGTGTGTGTATATATATATATCAGTGAAACACAACTGAAGTTCAGAAATCAGCACTAATATTTATGGTTAACTGATTTCAAAATTCAATGGGAGAAATTACATCTCATTTGTCTAACAAATGATGCTGGGTAAATTGGATATCCACATGAATAAAACTGAGTTTAGACCCTTATTTCATACCATATGCAAAAATTAACTTAAAATTGCTGAAAGACTTCAATGTGAGAACTAAGCCTATGAAAGTTTTAGAATAAAATGTAGGGGAAACTTTTGAAAGCTGAGCAGACCTTTGAGATGCAATACCAAAAGCATGATGCATAAAACTTAAATATTAACATATTGGACTACATCAAAATTGAAGATATTTGCTCTATAAAATACAAGTCTGATTGCATTATTGCAGAGCTACCGTAATTAAGTCAATGTGGTACTGTTGTTTGCTTATACAAGCAGATTAGTGGATTAGAAAATAGTATCTCGTGATAGACCCACACATGCATGGTCAGTTCATTTTGACAAGGGAGCCAAAACCATTTCATGAGAAATAAAATTCTCTTTAATAAATGATGCTGGAAAACTGAATAACAGTATAAAAAAATGAACTTCGATTTTTACCTCTCACCATATAAAAAATTAATGTGAGGTGATCTTAGATTTAAATATAAAAGATAGGGGCGCCTGGCTGGCTCGGCCTGTTGAGCATCCGACTTCTGCTCAGGTCATGATCTCATGGTTCATGAGTTCAAGCCCTGCGTGGGGCTCCATGCTGACAGCTCAGTGCCTGGAGCTTGCTTCAGATTCTGTGTCTCCCTCTCTTTCTGCCTTTCCCCCACTCGCTCTCTGTCTCTTTCTCTCTCTCTCTCAAAAATAAACATTAAAAAACTTTTTTAGGGGCGCCTAGGTGGCTCAGTAGGTTGAGCATCTGGCTTCGGCTCAGGTCATGATCTCGCAGTTTGTGAGTTCGAGCCCTGCATCGGGCCCTGTGCTGACAGCTCAGGGCCTGGACCCTGCTTTGGATTCTCTGTCTCCCTCTCTCTGCCCCTTTCCTGCTCATGCTCTGTCCCTCTCTGTCTCTCAAAAAAGGAATAAACGTTAAAAACAATTTTTTTTAATTTTTTTAAATTTTTTTTAAATCTTAAAAAAAATGAAAGATAATGATTCTAGAAGAAAATTGGATTCTATTTCTGTGGCTTTGGAATTTCTTAGCTAGAACATATACATGCACAATCACATGAACACACACACGCGAAAAGCTAAACAAAAAAGAATAAAAGTGATGAATGAAAAGGCACTGTCAAGAAAATCAAAATGTTGGCCATAGAACGGGAGAAATATATATAATATAGATGTAACCAAGGACTGTTTATTAAATATATACACTAAACATTGTTGCAACTCAATACTAAGAAAACAAACATCTCAATTTAAGGAAAATAAGCAAAAGACTTCAAAAGACCCTTAACAAAAGAAGATGTGATAAACCACTAAAAACGTGTTCAACAACATTGCACATAAGGGAAATGCAAAATAAAGCTACTTCAAACCCTCTGGAATGTGACAGTTCAAGAAACTGACCACGCTAGATTGTGGCAATGATGTGAAGCAACTAGAACTCTCATATTTTTCTGCTGAAAAATAATACAGCCACTTTGGAAAATTGATTGACAGTTTCTAACAAAGCCTCACATACGTATTGCCAACTATTCAGCTATTCCGCTAGTGTGTTTATTTACCTAAAATAAATAAAAACGTATGTTCACAAAACGACTTTCACGAGAATGTTAATACCAGCTTTACTCAATAGAGTCCATTACTGGAAACGGTTTAAATATCCATCAACAGGGAGATGAATGAACAAATCGTGGCATATTCGTAGAATAAAATACCATTTAGCAATAAAAGAAATAAACTACTTGTATACACAACGATATGTATCTCAAAAAACTATGAAAAAAAGAGGTGGACAAAAAAGAGTGCATATAGTATGATTTCTAAAACAAGCAAAAAACTAAGGCAAAAACCACAAAAGTAGTTGTCTGGAATCTGATCCAAAAAAGGACACAAAATAACTTTGGGGGGGGGGGTGGTAAAATTGTTCCATATTTTATCATGGTCATTGTTTCAACGTGGTATATAATAGTTAAAGGTCATCAAATTACATATGTAAAATGAGCATATTATGCTATATGTAATTATACCTCACTAAGGTTAATGTTAAAAATAAAAAAAAAAAAATAGGGGTGGCTGAGTGGATCAGTCATTTAAGCCTGTGATTCTTGATTTGGGCTCAGGTCATGATCTCATGGTTTGTGAGTTCAAGCACACCCCCCACCCCAACTCCCACCCTTGGGCTCTTTAATTCTCTCTCCCTCTGTCTCTGCTCCCCCACCCAATCATGCCCACTCTTTCTCTCTCTTAAAACAAATAAATAAAGTAAACATGTGATAGATGACAGATAGATAATAGATAGATGATAGATAGACAGATAGATAGATGGTAGATAAAAATAAGGGCAAAATAAATATTTTCAAAGAAACAAACCTCACCAGTGGAAACTCTAAAGAGTGCTTTTCGACTCCACCATGAAACTTGCGGGACCTCTCGGCCTGTCCTAGCAGGGATTACCTGCACCCCCAGTTCCCGAGGGGGCTC